GAGGGGCTGGGTAGGCAGTCCCGTTACACACGGGTGCAGTGCGGGTCGGCCTACTCCAGCGCCTGCGAGGGGCTGGGTAGGCAGTCCCGTTACACGCAGGCGCCGTGCGGGTCGGCCTACTCCAGCGCCTGCGAGGAGCTGGGTAGGCAGTCCCGTTACACGCAGGCGCAGTGCGGGTCTGCCTGCTCGCACGGCGCCTGGGGCATCCGGCACGCACATACTTACTCCTGAGGAATGCCGGCCGGCTGCAGGAATTCCAGGACTGGGAACCAGCCGGTTGTGTGTTCCCCGAGAACCCCCGTCGAGGGCAAGGGTGCCGCCGGGGCTGGCTCGTGCTGGTACTCGAGGGCGACGTCTGCTTCCTCGACGGGCGGCTCGCGGCCGGCGCTGAAGAGTAGGGGCGTCTCATCGGCGTGCCTGTTGCGCTCACCGTCCTGGGACACTACTGCTGACTCGGCGACGTGCAGCGAGCCCAGCCTCTCGGCCAGTTCCGCGGCACCGTCCTGGACAAGGGCGGCGTGCTCTCGGCCGTCGACGTTGTCGTGAGCCCTGCCCTGCCTGGCCGAGCTGGAGCTCGACATGCCGGTCGAGTCCAACCTGCTCACTTTAGACGACTCTGCGCTCGAGGGTTGATGATGTTTCTGCCTCGCGTCCTTTTGGGGGCGATTCTCGACGTGAGCGACCGCCGTTCGCGTGGCCGTGGCCGGCGGTGAGTGTTGGACCGTGCGCGGTGAGGATCGAGGTGGCGAGCGTGGCGGCGAGCGCGGTGACGAGCGCGGCGGAGACCGAGGTGGAGAGCGCTGCGACAAGCGCGGTGGAGACCGAGGTGGAGAGTGCTGCGACGAGCGCGGCGGCGACCGAGTTGGAGAGCGCCGTGATGAATGCGGTGGAGAGCGCGGCGACGAGCGCGGCGTCTTGCGCGGGGACGCCCGCGGTGACGGTCGCGGCGAGTCCCTCGGCGACGCCCTGGGACTGTCGCCGCCGGCGGGCTGCCTGGCGGTCTCGGCGACGTGCTTCCGGCTCTGCTTGCTCTTCTGCTCGCGCGCCAGCCGCTCGGCCTCCTGCAGCGCCTCCAGCATGGCGGCCGCGCGCCGCTGCTCCTGCTCCTCCTTCTCTCGCTGCCGGCGCTGCTCCTGCTCCAGGCGGCGCCGCTGCTCGTCCTGCTCCCGCCGCAGCCGCTCCTCCTCCAGCCGCTCCTCGCGCAGGCGCCGGTCCCGCTCCTCCTTGCGCCGCCGGTCGCGCTCCTCCAGCTGCTTGCGGATGGCCGACTGGTGCTCCAGCGCCTTGGCGCGCCGCTTCTGCCGCTCCTCCAGGATGTCGGCCTCCACGGGCACGTTCTGGCCGCGCAGAAAGGACCTGCAGGCCGAAAGGAAAGCGTTACAGGCGCGTAGCATGGCAGTCCTACTCCTTCACTAAGATAACCCAAACACACGGTTACAAACATGATTAAAACATTGCAGAAAAAATAATGTATATACGACAAGAATTGAAGGATGGTTTGAAATATTTGAAATGATGTCATAAAAAAATTAGTCGATAAGAGCATGTCGAATATTCACGGTAGTTGATTAAAGTTTTTTGCTGGAACTGCTTATTGTGATAAAGGTCTTGGTTACCTACCTGCATGCGTTGTCGTCGGGGTCGGCGGTGCTGGGCGGGGACCCCTGCTCGCCTGGCGAGTCGGGGTGCGAAACGACCAGGACTTGCGACGTCACTTCACTACAAACAAGCAGTGCCAAGAAGATGCTATAAAACTATAGAGGGAAATTACGCAAGAGTGCACTTAATAGTGAAAATGCGTCTTCGTAATGTGAGACAGTCTTTTACCGGGTGCCTCTACGCACAGTACACTAACGGGTGTACTAGTTGGTAAACAAAGTGGCTGACGCCGCTACACAATATGGCACACAACGGCGTGGTACTGCAACTATATTTGTAGGTAAAAGAGGTAGCGATGTATAAAAATAGAAGTATGACGAGACGCCGACAAAAGGGCTGTGCCATCGATTGGCTTGGGTAGTCCCAACTGCGCCTCTCCTCCCCTCCCCCACCTTCCCATGGCCCCGTCTGGGCTGTCCGCCCCCGACTACCAGAAAGATCACCCCCACCTCGCACCTGCGACGCACAAGGGGGTAGTTGTTCCCTAATGGCAACCCCAAAATAACAGGGGTCAACTAAGTTGCTACGCCTCGAAAGGGCCATCCGTCATTCGTTTGTCTGACGGATCGCCTGCTGAGGTTCCTGCTGACGTCACTACATGATTAAGAATCTCGAATGAGAGAAAAAAAGTGCAATTACAGTAAAAATTTAGTTTGCATTAAACTAGAGATCTGCTATAGTTGGTCTGGGTAAATTCGAGTCACACACCTGTCGCGGTTGCCGTCAATGCTGCGCAGTCCCCTGTGCAGCCACGAGGGCGCCCCGGGCCGCGCCGTGACGGGCGGGAGCCTGTTGGGGCCGTCGACGTCGGCGTCCTCGCACGGCTCCCAGAGGTGGCCGACGCCCACGCCCCTGTCGCCCCAGCGGGCGCGCGCCGCCGCCGCGCCGGCGTCGTCGGCCCAGGACGCGGAGGACGTGCTGCTGCCCGAGCCCGAGCCCGAGCCGGAAGTGCCCGTGGGCCGCGGCGGGTGCTCGGCGGGCTGCTGCGTCCACCCGCCGCGCATCTCGCAGCGCCGCACCCCGGGGTGCTGCGGCTGGGGGGCGGGCGCAGGCCGCTCCTGCCAGCCCAGCGCTACGTGCCTGTTGACAAAGGTTCGGCGTTGCAGTTTTTCAAAATTATTTCAGCGCTCAAAGTTTGCGTCGAAGTCCTTACCTGTGTGGGTTGGGGGCGTCCTCCCACACCACCTGCTCCTGGCCGGCCGCCGAGTCGCTGGCGTACCCCGAGCTCGTCTCCTCCACGTAGACCCCCGCTGGGCAGGCGACCGGGTAGCCCGCGGGACAGGCGACCGGGTACCTGGCGGCTGGGTAGCCGTTGTGGTACCCCGTCGTGTACACCGTCGAGTAGTTGAGCCTGGTCTGCTCGCCGTTCAGGCCGGTCTCCTCGGGGGTGCTGTCTCCCTGAAAGTGCGGCACCGGGCCGGGCCCTTCGTGAACAAGACGAACGTCGTAGGAGAAAAATCATGGTAGCGAATGAAATGAACGAAGTACCTGACTCTGCGAGGGCTGGCGGCGGATGGGGGGCAGGCTGGGTCTACGCTGCAGCGTCACCTGGTGCAGGCCGTTCTGCAGGCCGACGGTCTTGGCCTCCTCCACGTACGCATCGTGCGCGCGCCTGCGAGTCACAAAGTAGCGCAGGTCGGACAAGAGCAAAGGGGAAGAGGGGCAGAGAGAGGGAGGGCGGCGGCGCGCGGAGAGAACGAAGCGCAGTCAGCGGGCAGGGCATGCATGGACGCCTCCCAGGCTCGCCGTCGGACTCACCTGGCCGGCACGCCGATGTGGTCGACTCGGGCCAGGTCGGTGCGCTGCTGCTGGTCGGCCCGGCTGTGGTCGGAGCCCCACAGTCCGCACAGCCCGACCATCTCCTCTGAGGGGACGAAGCGAACAACTCAGAGCCGTTCATACACACGGTCGGTAGGGGACGAGAGAGAGAGTAAAGTGGAATTGGAAACGCAAAGCCGATCAAAAGCAAGGCATCGGGCGCTGTAAAACAAGGGGAGCGCGGGGGCGCGGGGCCCCGCACGTGCGTGCCCCGTGCTCCGCCGTGACAGTCACCACGCGACGCGGACGCCGATCGATGCCGCACGCACCGCCGCCGTGGGCGCCGTGGAGCCAGGCAGCCACTCGGGCGTCCAGGCGCGACGGGAGGCCCGCGGCCACGGCGCCCACCGCGGTGACACCCGCGAAGACCTGACGCCGACGGCCGCGTGCGGGTTGTCCCCGGCGGCGACCCGAATTCCCTTTACTACAAACCCAGCAGCCTTGCTTTCACACGCCGTGGCACTCCACTCACCGCGCTCCTTGGCCCATTGTATCCTCTTCTGCTCGACGAGCGACATGGGCTTGCCGACGAACACGTCCCCGTGCGCGCGCTGCACCGCGCTGCTGCTCATGGCGGCATGCCCACGGCCGCGGCGGGCCGGGGCCCCTACCCGCGGAGGGTGGGTCACGTGGGGTCGCGCGCGGGGGCGGTGCTGCGGGGGCGGAGGCCGCGCTTCCGTTTCCCGTCCGCTCGGCCCGACGTTCGCGGCCAGACTGGACTCCACCGGGGCGGGTGGTCGCGAGGGGGGTCGGGGGACGGAAGGAAAGGGGGGCGCGGGGAGGGCGCTCGGACCGGAGGGGGCTGCGGACGCGTGCGTGCGCGCGGAGGTCCGTGCCGGCCAGAGCAATGCCCCCGCGACCGCGAGGTTTAGCACCCGCCGCTGATAACGACGAGGGCCAAGGGGGTGGCTGGCGCACCGCGCGCGACCCCAAGGGGACCCCTGGGGGGCGACTCCAGGGGGGCGACCCCGAGGGGCGACCACGGGACGGGGTGGGAGCGCGCGGGTCAATGATGCGCGCACCCCTCTGCCCCCGCAAGCCTCAGCCCTTGTCTCGGCGGTGCAGCAGCAACACCACCAAACCGACAGTGATTAATTTATCGATAGGACGCCCTGTCCGGGGCGCGGCGCGCGCACGCCAGCATCGGCATGTTCGCGTCGGCTCCTCTGCTGCACACGGAACCCTCCTCTCCCGTCCCGGTCGCCTCTGCTGTGGAGCAGCGCGCTCGCGCTCCTCCCTTCTTCCCCCCGTCAGCGGCGGCGGCGCGGGTCAGGCGCCCGCGGAACGCGACTTTCTGCTCGCGCCCAGCACGGCTGCTGATCAGATGGGGCTCCTCGCGCCCGTAACGCCCGCGCAGCAGCGTAACGAAATGGCCGGCGCCGGCCGCGGTAACGCTCCACAGACGCGACGCGCAAACTGCTTGGATAACCTAATTAGGCAGTAAAACAGAGAAGAAAATGTGTCTGCGGGATGGGCTCGGCCCGCCCGCCAGGACGCCACCTGCGTTAGTAGAAAAACGCTACGGTAGGGGAAGGGAGGGTGGGGAGGGGAAGCGGGAGGTGGTCTTCCCTGGAGCGTTGGGAGCGGTAGCAGGGTAGTGGGTGGGTAGAGGGGCGCGCGGGAAGCCGTAAATCGATCAAACATTCCACTGCGGAGCTAAAAGAGCGCGCGCATTCAAATATCCGCTAGGGCTTCTCTGCGTTTAACCGACTGCAAGAGACAAAGTGCAACAAAAGACGTTCCCTTCCCTCCGTCCGTCAATGGAAACCGCCGCGTACTCCGTAACGCGGGACAAGACGAAACTGCGTTTAGTTGATACGAACAACGTCCCTCCAAACTTCAAATTTCGCATGGAAGAACTTCGTGTCCTGTCGCAACACGGTGGCTTTCGCTGCCACCACAACCGTGCATTGCACCTACTACACTTGCATGAATAAAATACTTGCCCGCATGCAGGTCAGGTCAGCAGCGAAGGAAACGACCTCCAAATTCGCAATTCCTCTGTCCACTCTTTATCGCCGACACGGCAGCTCGCGGTGGGATGTGCGGGGACGCGGGCATCTTTTGTGTTGACGTGCCACCAGACGGCGAGGCGGCAAACAGAAGGGGTGAGAGTGGCGCCGGCGCAAGCCGGGTCAGGCCAGTCAGGCCTCCAGGAGGCTCGTCATGACAACCGCTGGAGAGGGATCCAGTAAACAAAGACATTGTAAACTTGCATGAAATGTTTAATTTCAATATGTAGTATGTTGTTGATTAGGGGAACAACGGGAGTTCAAAATAATATTAATAATGACAGTAATCAGAGGTGCCTCAGCATGGCGATGTCAAAATACAAAATACCTATGTCGCTGATAAGGTTAACAAGGAGTTCAAATTAATAGAAATGAAAATAATGAGAAGTGCCTCAGCATGGTCATGTCAAAATACAGAATATCATGTATGTCGATGATTAGGTTAACAAGGAGTTCAAATTAATCTTAATGAAAATAATGAGAAGTGCCTCAGCATGGCGTTGTCAAAATACAAAATATCACAGAATTTTAAAAACATTGTGATTCAGTAAAATAATCCTAACATATGAGAAAACTCACAACAACTTCTTAATCAAAGGTCTTAATATTTTATAAACGTAAAACTTAATGCTTCATACCAGGGTACATATGGATTGTAGAGTCAATCATCATTTCCCTTTGTCAAGTAATACTATGTCATGGTACATACTAACGACAAGTGTTCTTCTCATTCAAAAACAACATTTAAATCTAAAACACATAACACTAATAAACCTTTGAGATTGCAGGGAATACATCCCACAGCTTTTCAAACTCCTTAACAAACTGAAGTACTGTGTCCTTGTCTTCAATTATAAGTAAATTTTCATAATTCCCAAAGAAACCCTGCATGGTCCAATTGATAGTACCCGCTAGCAAAGTTTTACCATCAATTATTATGAACTTGTGGTGAAGGCTTCCTTCTCCCTCCAGTCTATGCACTGGAATACCTGAAACATAAATTGAAATCAGAACAGAAACATAATGATTGATTCACATAGGAAACTACTTCAGGAAGGTTGAAGGATAACACATGCCTGCATTTATAAAAACCTGCATCTGACTGCCAGTCCCTGTGGAAAAAGACTTGTCACACATAACTCTTACTTTTACTCCAATATTATGAAGAAATATAACTTCATTTGACAAATCTTCAGCTGTGAGCTGTTGGACACATATGTCAACACTGACAGAGGCTCTCATAATTTTATGAAGAATAAATCTGAGTGTAAAGTATTCTAATTAGTGGAGTAACTTTAGTTTAAGGATTCAGTAATATTAATTTACTAAAACAGAACTTACTTGTAGTTGTAAAACATGCAATCTTCCTTTTCGCATCTCTTTTTTCGGTTTGCATCTGGGCGACAGAGAAAATTATTTCTTCGAAAGAAAATTGCTTCAAATGGAACCTTTCCATTAGGTTGGGTACAGTAAGCTCTAAAACAGACAAATACATATTAAACCATTACAAGATCACATGCACAATCACTATAAGATATGATGAGCAATCATACTTTTCATTGTTACTCTCAGTAGAAAAAAGATACTGAAATTCTTCTACAAACTGATTAACCAGATAGGGGTCAACATTTATTAACATATGGTCATAATTATTGGTGAAGCTCTGGAAGAAACAAATAAATGAGACGTATGTAATTGATTAGAAGGTAGAACTCAGCTGTTGAAAGATTTAATTACGTATTTAAAGTTTACGAGATGAGATGTGATTTTCAGACCACTAGCATGAAAATAGTTTTATAGGATAAAGGCCAACTGAACATGGCCAATAACTAGTTGGTTCCATTAGAAATATAAGCAGGCCTAAAAAACATGCTTGCATTTTGTGACCTGTAAATCTACCTGAATTCACTGAAAAGGCACTTACATTGTTGGTCCAATTCATGGAACCAGTTAATAGAATTTTGCTGTCCACAATAACAAATTTGTGGTGCATTAGCAGGTCTCCAGGTGCATATTGCAACGCTCTTAAATCTGCACCTGGTGGAGGTTTGCTACATTTCTCCACTACAAATGCTCCTGAATGACAGAAGACAGTAAGTTAACTTCTGAAGGCAATAACAACTTGATGATAAGCCACACCAAAACCCTCACCTTCTGATCTCAGCCTGGAGATAGCCTCTTTATCCTCAATATTCCTATCTCCAACAACCACTCTGACTTTCTTACCGCTCCTTAGCAGATCCACAAGTGCTGACTCCAATTCAACTTGATTCAAATTGTAGAGACAAATATCGACACAGGATGAAGCTTTACTCACAATACGTTTGAGAGTCCTGGAAAGGCACAATTCATTGTTGAATAAAAGGATTGGAACTTGTTCAGCAATACCTTCAGATGGAGAAACTTTACCTCAAGTGTCGAACAGGACAGTCGACCAAAGGGCATTCATCCGTCTTATGATTTTGATGGTGTAAACATTGTGTGCCTCCCTCATTGAAGAAAAGCACAATGCTGCTGTTTTTATTGACACCTTTAGCTAGCTTTTTGAGGGGCTTAGTCGGCGTAGACTGGTTGTTGTAGCAATAATACGACACTGCGCCCAGCAGAGAAGCACCCGCGACTTGTAGCCCAGCTAACTTCAAACTATCCATACTACCTAACTAATGAATGACACTGGTAATAGAACAGCACTGCTACGGAGAAAGCACGCGGACTGAGGGAAGGGCAGGTCAGGAGAGCAGGTGGTCGGCAGGCGGCAA